GTCTAAATAAGAAAGTTCTAACCTAACACAAAATTATATATAATAGAAATGATTATTAAGTATTGTCCAGGAGAAATAACGGGCAATTACCTAAGCAAAATGGACCTACAACCAACAATAACAACATCAAACAAAAGATACATACTAAAATCTAGAACATGGGTAAATGGTGTGTTAGAGAGATTATCCAAAAGCCGTCCTATCCTGAAGAACCTGAATCTAGTACATAATACATCCTAGCTAAGATACGAGAAGATTGTAACTGTAACTATTAGTCTTAAACCCCATCAAAGACCTGAGAAGGAATATAATAATACCTGAGAAAATGGAAATGCATGCAAGCAACTTTGTGAAATCTTTCAAGAATAGACAGAGACAGCTGGCAGCCTGGACAATCACCTAAAGTTTCTCAGCACTGTTGGGGCATCCAATTTGGCTACAGGCCTAGAATATCTGACAGACCATTTTCAGAAGCAGGAATTTTGAAAGACCATCTTACCCTGTCTTGGCAGAGTTCAGTAGTTGCTTTTCCTTGTGTCCTTCTTGTCCAGAAAGGACAGCATTCATACTGTCAGCAGTCCAGGCAAGGGCAGTTCTTTGCCCAAAAGGCCATTATGTGCCAGGAAGACAAACTTCCAAACCAAGTGTCTTAAAAGCCCAACATTCTCTTCAGATCAGATCAGTGCTGCCAGGAGCAATCGTGCCTCACGTCAATAGAATTCTAAGTTATTTAAATGCCATTTTCTCTAGGTCTATGAAGTGTTTGAAGATTACTGTCCATCTGACCTATGTATTTGTAAATCTAGACACCCTAACTAACATAACTATAGAGATGACAAGCATAGGTGACTATAAATCTGTAAGTCTTATCTACCTAGATAACCTAAGGACTAAGGCTTCATATAAACAAGGTAAACAGTCTGTAAGTAAATGTACAGTAAAAGGACAATGACCTCAAAATTGTGACTGTACACAAAATGTCTTAAACAGAGGCAGAAATGTATAGTGCAATATGCAATATTGCAACAATATGTATCAATATACAAAATATCCTAAACAGATGTAGAACATACATACAGTATGGCCAATATAATTTTATATTTGTATCAATATACAAGATATTTCAAATAGGAGTAGAAATATATATACAACAAGTACAGTTTTGTGTTTGTATCAATGTACAAGTCTTAAGTAGGACTATAAAAAGTTTACATTTGTATCATTATACAAGAATTCATAACAGTGCATATTATCTCAGGTTGATATTTTACTAGTTTACTAGTAGATAGAATAATCTACCTAAATATCCTATACCTATCCATTCCCCTTTTTCTTTTCTTAAGGAAAATACTGAGTCTAATTTTTTGTTCCAACCCCAACCCTACAAGCATCATTCACAACCCTGAGAAGCATGAAACCTTTAGGAAAGGGGGAGTTGGGAGCCAGATAATGGGGTTAATCCATAGAGTCTATTTAATGGGGGCAGGTGCCTCGAGGTCACAGGCAGGTGTGACAGTTACCTGCTACCTCAGTAGGGGTGGTGCTTCAGGGCATGGCTCAAACAGCTCCCACTACATTTTATGGAAAGCTTTCTGGACATCTTGACTTCAGTACAGTGTTAGATGTCCCAGATGGGGAAGATTGAGCTTTTTGTGTGCCATGTGAAAAGAAGGCAGCGTCTGTGGTTGGAGGCAAGGACACTGGCATGCCCCCTGTAAAGAGCTCATTGGAAATGGTGTGTGGTTGTCTAATGCCATTCATGACCACCAGCGTCCAATTTAATTCTCCCAGAAAGAGCAGACACCCTTGAAGGAGGCAAACTAATTGGTTTTTTTCTGAGGCATCTCCATTGTGATGGATGACTCCAGAGCCAAGATGTAAATTCCCATGAGCCTCCTGGTTCCATACAGGATGTGCCTCACAGCTGCTTGTGTAAGAAGTTTCATTCTGTACGTGTTGCTGCCTGCCTGATCTGGCTAAGTCCTGTAGTCCCTGTGGGAGGCCAGGTTACTCCAGAAAATATGGAAGACATGTTCCCAGGAGCTCCAGTGGCAATGTTGGTGATGTCTTCACAAATCTCCCATGCAATCTGCCATGGCTTCTTCCTCTGGCCCCTATCAAGAGCAGAGTCCATGGGAAGGTTGAGCCCAGAAATGGCAGGGAACGTCCCAAAGATGCAGGGCTCTTGCATCCTTCCCTCCCCTCTCCAGACTAGCCAAGGAGAAAACCACCCCAGTGGGATTGTTGGGAAACAGTCTATGTTCCCGGTTGCTAAACTTGGCTCATGTAATACAGTAACAAGTTTCTGAATGAGATCCATGGTGTCAACATCTCCTAGAGCTAATAGTGAGGACCACCCAGAGTGCACCCTCAGTTCATGGAACAGTACAGCCCATTTACTGATGGGCGCCTTGGTGGGTGAAATGTTAGAGAGAAGACTTGGATTGCACTTGGCATTGACAGTCTCTCATTTTCTTGTTCTATTAAAGGTGTCCAGACAAATTTGGTGTGTGGGAAAGAGAGACACTAGAACTGATACTGAGGGAAGTGCAGCAATAATAAAGCAGCTGGGTTTAGCCAACACCCACTTTCCTCTGTTTCAGGGACACTGATGTTGAATGGCTGGGGGTACGGCAAGGGTGACAGGGACTGTGAGGACAGGGAGAACCTCTGTCCTTCATCTGCAAAGGGTCCAGGATGAGCAGAGTGGAGCACGGAGCCTCTGTGGCTCCAGCAGCTCTGATGGTGGGGGTGGGGGTGTGATCCATCACTCTCAAGGTGACCTGCAGGCAGGACTAGAAAGCGACTATGGAATACGTAGGTAAAGGCAGGCTTGTTGGAATCCAGGAAGCCCATGGGTGCCCAGCTAAGCACCTGAAGGCAGATCTTCTACTAAGTTAGGGAGGTGACTTCAAAGCAAGGACGAGCTCAGGGTCACATCTCTGGGCGGCCACACCTGCTCATGTGTCACGCTCACCGAGGCCTTCATTAGCTTGTGCCTTACTGGCTACAGCATTTATGACCTGGTCCAGAATCAGTTGTTCAGCCGTTATTGTGCCAGTGTGAGTGAATTTACACAGACACACCATGCTGGAAGTTGTCTCTAGGATTCGTGTGCAGTGGTCCAGGCAGGTGTGATACATGACTTGGGCCCGCTCAGGATGTGACGGTCTTGGCCGACTCCCTGGTTGGAACTGGGTGTGATAGCTAGTGATCTCTGTGTGCATTACATCATGCGGGGCCTGGTTTGCTCTCTCAGCTGCCCCCAGCATTGCCTCTTAGCAGCACTGAGGTCTGGAGAGGTTCTCAATGCTGAGACAACTCCATCCAGGAAGCTAGTCTACGTTGAAAATGATTCCTGTTTAACATGCGTCCTGTCTGCCGGACAACGCCCCAAGGGCTTTTCTACTTTGAACTCCTTTTCTCCTCCAATTTCCCAATAATAATAATAATAATTTTACCTCATTCCATTCATTTGTTCGTTCATTACTTCACTCACTCTTTTTTGTTGTTGTTTCTTCAGACAGGATCCCATGTAGCCAGATTTGTTGATAGCCAAGGCTGGGCTTGGATGTCTGATCCTCATGCCTCTGCCTCCCAAGTACTAAGAAAACAGGTGTGTGCCCAACTGAGTACCATGTTTTAGATGGGGAAATCAAGGCTCAGAAGAGAGAGACAAAGCTGGGAGCATCACCTTGGTCCTCTTTGTCCCTGCAAATAGGTCCCACTGTGGAGCCAATGGAGAGCGAAAGCCCTGAGTCTCCTTGATGGATACTTGGGTGCCTCTCTGCAATCCAGACCGTGTCTCAGACACATTGGCTGCATCTCTAGAGGAACAGTCTGATGCCGAACCCTTAGTCTTGCCCTCTAAGAGAGGACAAGTGACTAGGAAGGAGCCGCCCACCAGTGCACTCCGCGCACCTGCAGACACCACAGGCTGAAGAAGTGGCCTGGAAAGACACAGGATGGACTGGCTTTTTTCAGTAGGCGGAACCTGCAGGCACTTTAGAATCCAGACATGATAAGGCACATGGGAAAATACTGTGTCACGGACACTGGAGAGGCAGGGCCAGCAGGGTGGTCTGTCTGCCATGCCAGAGACGAGACCTCATCCCAGGGCTGTGGGCAATTTAACATCGTAATTTCAAAACAAGGTTAGGATCCCCAAACCCTGGTGCACTCAGTAGTGCTATTTTCCCTGTTTGTGACATTGTAATATTGAAGGAAATTTAAAAAGTAAATAAACTCCTTATGTGAACCATATTGACCTCGTTCCAAAAAGAGTGATTTTTATTTTTTCCACTCATTTCTTCATTTTTTTTTTTCACCAGCAATTCCCTTTGGCAAAAGTTATTCTCAGGCGGCAGGATAAGTACTTCTGAGGGGTTTTGTTTTTGTTTTTAATGTTTTTTCAAGTGGCTTGGATTGCATAAGAACATGGTGTAGAATCGTTCCCAGTAGATTCTTTATAGCAGCGATGGTGGCTTAGACTGATTATATAATTGTTCCCTCAGTCTGTTCTCAGAACCTAACATGTTGCCAGAATATGAAAAGCTAACGATGGTAATGGCATCTGAGCATCTTACCAGCTCACAGTTCTGGGCACGGTTGCCCTCACGTTGTTTACTGTGGGCAGAAGTCTTGATGTGGCATTGACCATTTTGCCTGCGCTGGCCACCCAGGATTCAGTGTGGTCTGCTCTGCCTTGTATGCACGGCTCACCTCCCTGCCAGCGCCTCTCACGTCTGGCTGGTCTCGCACGTGTTAATATTTGGGTGAGGCAAGGCAGCAAACTTCTGCTGCACTCAGGCTTGCATTTTGCAGGAAGAGCAGAATGCCATCTGTTGGAGGAGGTGGCGGGAGTATGCAAATGCGGCTGTGAATTCCATGAATGCTTAATTTGCTGTAGAACTTATTTTAAGTTTGTTTTATTTTTTTAATTTGGAGTCTTTGCATTTAGTTAGTTGTTTGTTTTTTTGTTTTTTGTTTTTACTTTGTAGAATAGTCCTTATCAGTGGCAGAAGATCCTTCTGTAGTATATTTTCCGTGCTGCCGTATCGAGACAGTACCCAAGTCGGGTATGTATATGCATGCATGCTTTACAGTTCTCTGGGTGAAAAGTTCAGACACCAATGTGCACAATGTGGCTTGCCTTTCTCTGTTCTGAATTTGCCTAGATTTGATGTTACAAATTCAGTGTCTGATTTTGGGGTGTGTTCTACTTTCTTTTCAGCCAGAAAACTTCCTTGGTGTGTGTGTGTGTGTGTGTGTGTGTGTGTGTGTGTGTGTGTGTGTGTGTGTGTGAACTTCCCCCACCATCTGCCTCTTTCTAAATGTGCATTTTATCACCTTGTCCAATACTATCAACCAAGAAAAATATGAGGTCCACCATATGCCGCTGGGTCACTCTGACTGTTGGAAAAAGGTAGGTTGGGTAAGGACCAAATCTTCTGACTGTACTACACCCTGTGTCTTGGCTTTGGTTTGGAGGCTGATGGGAGAACTGGAGCTGCCAGTGCAGGGCAAACACGTCACAGCAAAGTGGCACCAGGAACAAATGTACATAGTTAGGGGCAGCCAGAGAAATGTTCCCCTCTCTGGATTAATCAACCCTGCTCTGACTCTGAGCAGACGGTAGTAATAGAAGGGTCTGGACTTGCAAGATCACCTTCTCCCCCACCACCTTGCAGCCTTTTGGTTCCTCCGTGTGGAGGAACTCATCCCCACTGCATTGTGTCCAGCGCCTGTCGTAGGGTGCTGCTTGTGTTGGGCACATCTCTGGGTGCTGTTCATCTCTAGCTTCTGTTTACTCGGCCTTGTGACAACAGATGCTGTAGTCACAGCACCTGAGATAATGTGGCCTGGGTACTGTTCCACCACTTACCCACCCTGGCTGTTCCCACAGGCTCCCTGCTGGCCTTGAACTTTCCTCTGCTGTAACAGGTTACACTCGTCCTGATAAACTCACCTGGTTCTTACATGAACTCCACATGAGTTCCACAAGGGCAGCCGCTGGTTAGATATGTGACTTACAGAGCGCACCAAGTGTCATCCTTTTTACTTCTGCACCCTTACAACAACCTTGCAAAGTAGGTGTTCTAGGAAAAAGAGGCGGCAGATCTTACAGCCTGGAGGTTTGAGGCTCATGCAGGAGCAGCTGTGGGCTTGAAGGACGTCCCAGAGCTTTCTTTTTCCTGCCTAACTTGCTGTGGCCACAGCTGTGTCTGTATCAGGAAGACAGCCCATATCCAGGGAGACCGTGGTAAGGCCCAGACTCTGCTCCACAGCCCAGGGAGGTCCGCACCAGCAGCCTCTTCTGGCCGAGGCCTGGTGGGTCCCACGGAGCTTCCTCATTCCTCTGGACTCCTTTGCTGACCCTTCTGATCGATGCATTCTTTCCCCTGCTCCAGCCCATTCATTCATTCATTTCTTTGCATACTGCTTACCACATGACCAGGTACTGGGGATGCTGGGAGACAAGGATGGGCATGGTACCCATCCTCCTGAACTTACTCTCTGAGGGGAAGACACATCAGATTACACACATACACAGTCACTGTTTTAAATAGATGCTGAAGATGTTCCAGCAGGTGACCACTGCCCCTTCCTAACTAGGGACCCATTCTGTTCTGTAAAATAATTTGGCTTCTCCGTACATTACATTTCATCTTTGAAATGTTCACATTTGGTTCATTTCCAAAGTGTTAATGTCCATATGCAGGTACCCCTCATTGCTGTACCAAGAACTTAACATTTCACAGCTATGATCTGTGAGAGCAGTGGTCCCAGGCAAGAGTGGGAATGGGAACCATTTGTATGGCCTGCCCCCCTCCCACAGACATGCCACACAAGTTCCACATCTGTGGCAATCTTTCCAGGATATGGAGCATTGACGTTATCTGCTTCCCAGAGGGCACCCGAGGCTCACAGGAGTTTGTGGACATGAGGGTCCCAACATGGCACACGGCATGCTGAGAGGTAGTAGAGAGTCAGTGTGAAGAACTTTGAAGATTGTATGTTTTCAGTTGTGACTTTGAAGGTCTGGGTATTTTTTTCAAAGCCAATAAATGGAGATTATCGAAACAATCTCTCCTTCTACATTTTTAGATACCTCAGGGAAATGCAGCTGGTACCTAACAGCATCCCGGATACTGGGAAGGCCTGCCTTTTAGAACCACCTGTGGACTTGACTGTTCTGCATTGTGGCCCTGGATAGAGAGAGACATTTGGATATAACTTTTATGTCTTAGACATGAGCAGACCAAGATTTTTATAGTTGAGGAAACCATGGGGCCCAGCAATGAATTCTATAACCAAAGAACAGTTTCTTTGTAAGACCTCACAAGGGGAACCAGTCTGTTGTCTGTAACAGAGTCTACCTTCTACCACAGCAACGAGGGGACTCTGAGCATGAAGCCAACCAAGTACTGCACTTGAGTGGCCGGGTGGTGTTCTGTGCTTTTGACATTTTAATAAACAGACATCCTGTTTATAAATAAATGATAGCCCATTTGCTGTAATTATCCACTGATAGCTACAGTTCTTTTATTAATGAGAAATAACTTCAAATAAAAAAGCTATATTATTAGACATATCTAAGAAACTATACATGTTAGTACAGTATGATAGTATTTATTAGTAAACGGCACTAGCTGTTTTAGCTCGGGTACACATCGACTTATTATATAATACACTTCCACTGGGAAGATGCCTCACACTTATCCAGAAGCCTGTCCTGTGACATAGCCATCTGTCACAGAAGTCCAAGGCTGGAAAGGCCTGCAGAGGTCAGATAATCTGCCCTTCCGGCTTTGATTCCAGGGTGGCCAAGGTTGTGCAGGACTGGGGTGGGGGCTGTGTATCAACCTAGAACTCTGAGCTCTGTTCTCTGGTTCCCGCGTCTCCTTTGTGCTCCCATGTGTGGACCAGGCCACGAGGGCATGTTGAGTCTGGAATACAGACAACACAGCAGTGGAGGAGACGCTGTGTACGCCTAGCGTCAGCACAAGATCACAAACACAGGAAACTCAGTAGTTCCTCTGCGTGTACTTGAACCTCCTTTTCGGGGCAAGCATCTCTCAGATAGGCAGCCTTGTCTTCCTGGGTGTGTTTTCTGGCTTCTTGTTCAGCATGGCAGCCTCCCAACTCCACCTCCCATTCTCTTGGCTCGCCCTGCCTCATCTGCTGTGGCCCTGAAGCTCTGTGCGTGTTTTTGTTTCCACCTGAAGTGAACACTGATTTTGGCACCTGGTATCAGTTGAGCAATGCTGACAGATCGATCTTAGGAGAGGTTTCACCGTCCATTTTTTTTATTGTTTTTGCATTCAGTCCTTTGTGGTCCCCAGTGTGCGTGAGTCCCCTGTGGAGAACACATTACTGCCCCTGAATTGTCTTCAGAATCCTTGGCTGAGTAAAATCTGTGGCCCCACCCACCTCTCGGTTTTCCCACCTCTCCTCCTTCCCTGTGTAGATGTTCAGGCCCCACTAGCGCAGAGCAGGATTCAATCCTGTTCTTGGAATCTAGAGAGTACCTCCCGCTTGCCAGGCACTGTTCAAGGCAGCGGGCATAATGAACATGAAGATATCTCTTCTTATCGAGCCTAGACACAAACTTCCTACCGATCAAAACAGCCACCCGACAGTTGAGTCCTAAGCAGCTGCCCAATGCTGAGGGCAAGTGGAGCCCAGAAGGAAGTGAGAGAATTCAGACAGACAGTGCAAGTGTACTGAGCTGGATGTGTGAGCCCTTGGGGACACAGAAACGTCTGAGACTCCGTGGACTTCCAAAGATGTCTGAGGATAAGTCAGCTTCCAGCATGGTTAACGGCCATGAATTCAATAGAGCCATGTCCAAGCTGGAATCCTGCTTCTGAGCAAGTATTCCATCCCGGTAAGGGAGAAATCAGAAGTCCTGCCAGGAGTCCTGGTCGTGGGACAGACCCAGCTCTCACAGGACCATCACTCAGCCCCCCACTCCATTCTTTTAACGTTCCTGTTTGGAATGTTTGGCTCACATCTCCCAAGCGGCCATGGGCGCCAGTGGTTGTCTCCAAGTCTGCGTGGCTGGTGTGGAAGTGGTAAGTCTCGTTGAAGAGACTGTGAGTGAGGCGTGTGGTTCACACTCGCCACCTGTCAGCAGCCAGTGGCTTCTAGCACTCACCTGAAAAGTTATTCTGCATGGGCCTTTTTAAACTTTCAGATTTCAAAACATGCACAGGTGGGGTGAGTTTGGGCAGTTTTCTGGTCTGGGTGATCCCCAAGGATTGAGAACAGTGAAGTACTCAAAGTACTTGCCAGCGCTCAGGTCTGTGCTAAGCTGGTGTTAGGAGTCTCCAAGACCTTCCAGTGCCAGCAGGTGACCTGGTTATGTGACAGTTGTCCCCAAGTTCAGACTGCCTTGATGTGTAGGGAAAGCTGTTGGAGAGAACGGCATAGTATGGTTTTCAGAGGGTGTAGCTGGAGGTTTGCGGGCTAAAACAGCAGTGTGGGCCGTTTCCTAGTGCCTTCCAGGTGTGTGTGCTCATTCCTTCTTCTGAGGACCGGGTGAGACAGGTCCCTGTGTTATCATTTTCTTGAGAGGGATGAGACACAGTGGGACTGGGCAACCCCAGCCAAAGAGAGTGCAGACAGAGGGTAGCAGGACTGTGTCCATGGCTGTGGGATAGCCCAGCCCACAGCACTTAGCCCCAGCTGGCCTCTTCTCAGCCACCCTTCTGGGTTAGACTTGCTGTCTCCAGACTTGATGGTGTTTATGGGAGTCACACCAGGGGTCACTTCCTGGGAGCTTTGGTGACCAAGCTGTTGGGTGATGGCTTTCAGAAGGCTATGAGGGATGCTCATTTACCCTATGGCTTTAAAATCTCCAGGAGCAACTCCAGGTAGCGGTGGACAGACTTCCCCCTCCCTATACTGAACCCAGGGCCTAATGCATGATGGGCAAATTCCCTACCACTGAGCCACAGCTGCAGCCTGGATTACTTACTTATTTTTATTTTGAGGTAAGGTCTTGCTATGTTGCCCAGGCTGGCCTCAAACTCACGATGCTCCTGAGTAATGGGAATTGTGGGTATGTGCCACC